TAGGAGACATCTTGAAGCGCTACTTGCTGAAAGGACCTTGTGAAATAATCCCAGAAGGTGCTCTTTGGTTGGGTTTGAAACAACTATTACAAGAAAAGAAATCCAAGGCACTTCTTCTGGTCCAAAAAAGTTAAAAAGCCTTTATTCACATTCTGGCCATCTCAATAAACATTAAAAATGCCTAAAACTCTGCACACTGATGCATTTCGGCCTTAAGCCTTCTGAATGAACTGAATGAACATCAGTTAGTCTTCAAATATTTATGTATATATATATTTTAACTATAGCCATAGTATATGCCTATACTGAAAAGCAAATATATTCTTTTCAGCATATAGCATATAGTGTGTGTGTGTGTGTGTGTGTGTGTGTGTGACACACACACACACACACACTATCATCTATCTATCTATCTATCTATCTATCTATCTATCTATCTATTTCTTGATTTAAATATCTCCTCCCATCTCTTAAAATGTAGTTCATGGCTAAAATTATATATAGTATATCAATTGTTTAAGTTAAACTTTTTTAAGGCTAGTCATTATAAATGGGTACAAAACAATGATTTACTTAATGTACAAATAAGAAATAAGGATTATGATTGAATAAAAATAAACAAATTTGAATTCAAATTAAAACAAATGAACAGCAACTAACGCATATATAGGAAGGCTTTATTAATAATATTATTTTAATAATAATAATGAGAGAGAGAAAGAAAGAAGGAGGGCAGGGAGATTTATTAATAATAATATTTAAATAACATATTTATTTTTATATTTATTTTTATCATTATTATACTTATTTGTATTTATTGCCATTATATTATCATTTATATTGTTATTTATATTTATGTAGTATTTCAGTATTATTAGATATTTCTGTATACACTCTTCTGAGCTCAAATTTCTTGATTTAAATATCTCCTCCCATCATATAGAATGCAATTCATTTGCTATTCTTTTCATTAAAAATATCACATTTCATGTAATCTAATACTGTATTTCCATCACGCTTTATGATATGATCATGATCTTTTTAGTTTTGGCCCCCTAGGCTGTCTCTAATCTCCTTCCCGAGCTCTTCTCCACCTTCTGTTTGTCATTAACTGGCAGTTATCGTTTAATTGGCCCTTGCTTTGAGCTTTTTGTGCCTTCATATGACTCTCTGGGGTCTCTGCTTAAGTTTCCACTGAAGAGCCTCGTCCATCTTCTGCCGATTCTTTCTCCTCCTGCTGTCGGACCGATTTTCTCCTCTCAGTGATGCTTCCTCAGTCTTGAGCTTTAGCGACAAGACAGATGCCAAAATGTTGAAGTACTCTTTATAAACACGGTGAGCGTGATTTGACCAAGTACAACATGTTCCTGGATCAACATCCTTGTTGATCCTGGAGCATCATTCCAACCAACCAATCAGAATTGAGAGATAACTTTTCAGGAAATGTCAGTTTTAGGCTTACAATCAGGAGTAGGCGCTTCTACACCCGGTGAGCGTGATTTGACCAAGTACAACATGTTCCTGGATCAACATCCTTGTTGATCCTGGAACAACATTCCAATTAACCAATCAGGATTGAGAGATACCTTTTCAGGAAATATCTGTTTTAGGCTTACAATCAGGATTAGGTGCTACTACAACCTTGTTAATCAGCTATCATTTCCCTCTGATTTTAGGAATAAATTATGGGTAAGGTTAGGTTTAGGGGTGGGGATTGGGTTAAGTCTGTATTTTTGGACAGTAATGTTGATCCAGGATCAACAAAAGATGTTGATCCAGGAACATGTCTTACTTGGCAAAATCACGGCGACCTCAGATTAGATTATCAGATTAAATCTGAGTCACAAGTAAAATGAAAGCATCAAGGGAGTGTTCATAGTCAACAAACATATTAATGATAAGCATACAATGAATGCAAAAAACCTACTAACTAATAAATTGTACCTAATGCATTTATTTAATCTTTTCTATTGTAACCTGAAAATACATGAAAACTTCTCAAAATAGAAAAAAGTCTCAGAGATGCAAGCAGATTATTAGAAAAAATACAAAAATCTGACTTCATTGTAATACATTATCAAAATATCATAACATTTTAAATCTTATGTTATTATACAACCAGACTCAAAAAGTACTCAAAACATGCTTAAAAGCTAAAGAATTACATGCATTTTACTCTGTTACTTCACTGCATATGTGAAGGAATCTTGAGACGGAACCAGTTTTTTCCCTTTCTTTACGTTCAGCTAAACTAGCTCTCCATCTTTTCAATCACTTTTCACTGAAGTGATACAGGTGATATTTCTGACAGAAGTGAGGTCAAGTATATGTACCTCCCAAGGCATACTGTCTGTCTCTGAAGGGCTGCGATATGTAGCTGTGTGCAAATGGCTGTACAAACATGAAGGCTGTTTGGATGTTTTTGTGGTCGTTGACATGGGAGGCCATCTCCTTGGGAGGTGAGGGGTCTCCTGCCCTTGAGTGACCTGTGACCCGAGTGAGCCCTTCTGCACTGATACAGGCTTTCAGCCCTAAGGGAAGGGGGAGAGAGGGGAATAGCACTCATCTGTATAAGCTTTTCTTTTACCTTTGATATATTCTTTGTGTTAAAAATTGACAAATGTTCTAAAATACAAATATATGAACCATCAACCAATTTAGCCATCGAGAAAATTTGAAATCACAATGGGTTTAGACTGTCTGTTGTTTGTGCTTCCTGAATTGCATGTTTAAATCAGGAATTCCAAAACATTGGCACTTGCTAATATGATAATATGCACTTCATATGCGTAGTTGTGGATAATAAAGAAGAGACTGCAGGTGCATTTCTGAGGGCAGCAGTTTAAAGCTTCTGCCGCTGTGATTGAGAACAAAGAAATGTAGTCATAATGTCAATGCAGACATAAATTGTGGAGGAAAAGGCGCTGTAGGCCACTTTGAAGTCCATTGCAGATTATTACTTTTGTGAATGAGCCACACGACTCCGCGTGGATGTTTGATGTGCGGTGAAGGTCTGTAAAATGAACTTCTTGAGAGGGTGATAAACATCATGCCTGTGCCCCTTTTTCTCGTTTCAGCTGGCATGCGCCCTTCCCTGAGGCTTTCAGCTCGCGCTATTATACTTTTCTATCCCCGACACGTGCAGATACAAGAGCCTTGGCTGGACCTCATGCGGAACTCCCAAATAGCGGATTTAACCTGAACCCCTTCAGAAATCAACTGATCCACACATACACAACGTGCACGGAAAAAAAACACTCTCAGGAAGCCAAATTGGATGTAGGCTTGTCTGCATGAGTTCCAAAGATAAGCAGAATGTATTTCTATAATTTGTATAATTCTATAATAATTTGTATTATTATTTATATAAAAAAATAGTGTAATGGATTAAGGAATGTTCGTACATCTGTTGATTACGATCTGAACTCGCAGATTAGCGTGAATGAACCGGCATTTTATGAATTTCTATCGTTGAAAGGTTTAGAAAATGATGTAAAACTGCCAAAAGTAAATGCTTGTTGACTTACTGTTATCAAACTGTATTTTATAAGACAACAAATGTCATTTAGGCTAATATAGGCTACAGTATCATAAAAACGGGATTTTACAATTAAATAGTAGGCTATGAATTACCTTTTAATTGATTGATAACATCTTTAACAAGGAAATAGTTATCATTTTAAGGTACGTTTATATATATATTTTAATCCACTTAAAGTATTAAGCACTAAGTATTAATTGGTTATTTTTAATCATTTTAAATATTTTATTTATTTATTGATGCTTATAGAGTTGTTTTAGTGCCATATTTATTGCATTTTTTTTATTTATTTTTTGCTCGTGAGGCCAGTTTTGGTGAACTTTAAGTCAGCACGTGGCCTTCAATGATCCACCTGTGTTATTATTCATACATTAAACAGACCTCAAATAGGTTGGTATCCTACGTTTTCATTATATAATTTCATAAAGGCTGCAGATAGGAACTTTAAAACACACACTGACCAAAATGACGTCACGTGCACTTGTAACAATAAAGATTTACACTGTGCACATTAGAGCTAGTTGACGTTTTTATTTTTGAGATGACTAAAACTCACCCCGAGGGTTTGATGTAATCAAGCGCAATCGTGTGTATAATATGCATAAGCAGTTTGCTTGACAGATTAGATGACTCTGTATCTGCGATCTATATCCATGCACCTGCTGCATAACCGTTATTTTATGCGCTGTGACCCAGACTGACGCTTCAATGGCTGCGCTCATTACAATGATGCCCATTATGTTGTCAGACATTGCTATGAGTTGTTTATGCATCTCAGAGTCACATTACGAAGCAAAGAAGCAAGCACAGATTTTTTTTTTTTTTGTAGAAAACGTTATATTTATTCGTACAAACACGCTTGCACCAGATTTATATTTTGAGGTAAATACATAATAGAATAAATCTCTTTATATACAATAAAAATACAATAGCATGAAAGCAACAGGTTGAATAAATAAAACAAAAAGAAAGTGGTGGGAAAGCAGTCGTAACTGTATACGGATCAGCCAGACAGGAGAGGTTTCTTCGGGTCAAAATACATAATGCATAAGGCCAGATCTTTGTCTTGTCCATTCATTCAGTCTATTGTCACAGCGTTGAAACTGAATTTTCACGCTCGTTTTTCTGCTTTATCGCTCTACAAATTGTAATATTGACTTTTCACCTTGGACTGCAAAGGCCAATCAGTCTTGCTTTAAATTATAATTTTCTCTAACAGGCGTTTAAGGTCATGCTCCAAAGAATGCGCAAAAGTGCAAAGATATCGGAAAAGGCATCAATATCGGTAACAAAACGTACAAAAATAAGAACATTCTCATCTGTGAACTGTCGTTAAGGCAAACAGTGAATAGCTAATGTTGTGCTCTTGGTTCTATTAGAAAAGTAAGAGCAAAGTCCTCTGATTTTACACTACACGCTTCAGCAGACTCTATACAGACATGAGAACGCTCGAGTCACATTAATAGATGCTAGGCACGAAGTTGTGGTAGCTGTAAACTACATCGGTCTGCAAGTATCCAAAATCGTCCATGGCTGCGGGGCTGCCCGGGTCTGAATTGCAGTAAGACGGGGATGAAGACGAGGGGGATGAAGACGAGGAGGATGTGCCGGATGGCCAGGAGCAAGAGTCACCGCCGGGGCTGGGCGCATCTCCCATGCAGCTTAGTCCTGGGAGCAGCAGCGCAGGGTCTCTGGGCTTGTTCTGCCGCTGGTCTGCGATCCGGATGGTCTCGGAAAGCGCCCAGATGTAGTTGTGAGCGAAGCGCAGAGTCTCGATTTTGGTCAGCTTCGTGTCGTCGGGAAAGGCAGGCAGCACGCTTCTCAAAGCATCCAAGGCGTCGTTGAGGTTGTGCATTCTGTTCCTCTCGCGGTCGTTGGCCTTCACCCGGCGGTTCTTCTTCACGACGTGCACGGTGGCTTCGTTCCTCGCGCGCCCCCTGCGCCGCTTTTTCTGCTGGAGCTCGGCTGGAGACGCAGGCGGCTTGCCGCAGGAGGACGCGGGGGACGCGGAGTGGAGGCTGCTGCGTGAGTCCTCATCATCCGTGTGCGTAAAGGAGTAGTCGCAGCTTGAGGTGTCCATGTCGGAGTAGACAGTCTCCATTGTTGGTAACCTGGAGAAATAGCAAGATTCAAGTTAGGAATACGCCAAAAACAAGCTCAGAAAGCCATTCCAAGTTCTCTGCGCGCAGCACTGAGGGTGCTTGGTCCTGCCAATACACACCTTATGTGGGCTGGGAGATGAAACTGGGTGTTTGAGGTCTTGCAGAGTCCTGCAGATAGTTTGTGTTGAAGTTTAAGGCACGCGTCTGTCTTGCTCTTACCCCTCAATCAGCTCGTGCGAGCTTGTGAGCTTGGCACACGACTGGCCTCACCTACCTTATATACCCTGGTGAGACAATGGACGTACCCCCCTCGCTTTAGCATTTTTGTGAAGGATGAATGAATGGTTTGCATCAGGTCTGCCCCGTGCCGCACGACCATCTCATTAGCATAATTTATGCCTGTTGTTTGTTCGCCCTCTGAAGCGTGCCTGTAATCACCGCTGGCCAATCAGAGAGCCGGAGAGCTGACCAGCCACGCGAGCAGAGCTGTTGCTATCTGTCCAGCATGCACCAAGCCCACTTTAACTTAAATCTTAATAACTTCAAAGAGGGAAAACAGCTTGAATGACTATTTTGCTTCCAGTCAGAGCATTAGCGATCTGGTCTGGACCTGGCACTTATTGCTCTTATAAAGTCATAAAAAAGTTATTGTTTTACAATGTTACTTAACATTACTTATTTCCACAGAAGTGATGGATGTGTCAGGGGCTTTTTTTTTCTTTTCTCCCTAGAAAGGGGCGGAGGGGAGGAAGAAGGGCTTTGCCCACAGCTGAGAGATGTTGCCAAGGAGATTTTGACAGGATTAGGCACAAGTGCACGAGACCTGATTGCATTTCAATGGCAGAAACACGTGAGAAAATGAAACAACTGAATTACTTAAAGCGGGTCTGATCTGGACCCCGAAACAATCGTGCACGCTGCACATTTTAAGAAAAGAAAGCAACGCAGCGCACGTGGTTGAGGGTCTGCTGCGAGTAAAGTGAAATATGCGAGCTGAATAGACGTGATATTTCAATGCACAATGGCTATTGCAACATTAAAAAGCGAGCAGCATTAAAACGCGTAAGATTTGCATGGCAGGTGTGGAAAGGTGCATTGCTCTTGGATTGGCATGTGACGTGTGAGGCGCAGAACTCTCTTTATTCTCGGGGAGAATGGTCTTTTAATTTATTTTATATCTGTTTATGCAATTCGAATTAAAATTCAATTTTGCATTCGGCCCAGCATTAATCCCCGGGTATTAACGCGATTACTGTTCGCAAAAGATCTTTGAGTCAGAAAGTCTGATAGAAGTTTTCACATGGTAATCCCCGGAATAATCCTTTCCCCTGGCGCTGCGGCAGGATCGGGGCCAGAGGATCCTTTCTCCTTCTTCAGAATTCAAGCAGGGCAGAATAGGGCCATTACTTTTGAATGATAATTAATTCCTTACTCCAGTGCTTCAATTGTACGGGGATACCACACCCCAAATAAGAAAATCACCCCCACGGCCTCGAGAAGGCCTTAAGAGACTGAAAATAAATTCTAGGGTTACAATGTTTAAAGACACTCCCTGTTCTAATAGTCTTGGAACTTGAATCAAATCTCCACTTATTTATTTATTTATTTATTTATTTAGTAATTAACTGCATTAGGTTTTGTGCAAATAAAATATCATTTATGTTTCCAATGTTGGAAAATGTCAACTATTTCTTTCTTTCTTTCTTTCTTTCTTTCTTTCTTTTACATTTATTAAGTTATGTAAACATTCATTCATCTAAATTCTTTTTTTTTCAATAACTGGGCTGTTAGCTACTGCATTTTGTGCTGTATTTACAAGCAAAATTCAAAATTTGCCATATTTTGTCAAGAATGTCTAAGTTAATATGCAGTGATTTATAATATTAATTACTTTACAAAATGATTTTTTGCATTTTATTAATTTTATTAACATCAAAAACAACATTATATTACATTGTATTATATTATATTATTCATTTACATGAATGACATCATGAATATTTGTATTTTATTACATTTAAAATACATAAAACATTTATTAAACAATATTAGATATTATATTATATTATATTATATTATATTATATTATATTATTTAACTGAAAATAACAACAACAACAACATCATTTACATTTAATGTTAATGTAACTAAAAGCTGCATTTCAGAAACATTACATTCCTATATTTAAAATATATATGTAAATGAACCTATTTGTTTGCCAAATACACCTGAAACATATATATATTTTTTGTATTTATTTACAAGATTTCAGAACAGGTGCTATTATCAAAATGCAATGGAATCTCATTACAAGCGATGTGAATGTAAATTTCGTCTCTCTTTGTGAGTCAGACACATAATGTACCAGTTCGTGAACCTAGTACTATCAATCAGATGTCCAAGTCTAAATACAAACCCTACGGTGGGGCATTCACTTGTCTCGGTGTATTTGTGCAAGTGCATAATTTACCTCTAGTTTACCCTGCATCAGTGCTAACAATGAGAGCTGTGTCTCTAAAGACTTTATATTTGAAAGTAACCAGGGCAACTCTTTGGTAAAATGAGAAGAAGCTTTGCACAAGCTACAACACCGTAAAAGGGAGGAAGTATACAGCCATTCCCTGACTAATGATAAGTTCATACACCTGACCTCACCAGACTGTTCCATGCATTAGACTTTTCGCTTAGCAGACCGACTGTCTTTCTTTTTTTTGCAACAATATCCATTTTTTGACGATTTTCGGATTTCTGTTTCTACATGTAATGCCCCCCAGAAACATAGGTTGAGTTGATGGCATCACTTGTAGGTGTTCAAATCAGCCATATGGTTTTGAGTGCAATAACTTGAATCTCTCGCCAACAATGGAGTAATTGAGAAGGGAAAGAAGTCTGAGCTTGACTCGACAAAGCTGCAAAAACTCCTTCTTTCACTCTAATGAAGCTGTTGTCTGGAGATTCTGTGTGGGGTTGGGAGGGTGGTGGTGGACGTGATTTGTCATACAATCTGAATCTTTAGGAGGGCTGGAGAAAGACCTCCTCTCCATATGTCTGCTTATTTTGCATCTGAAAGCTACCTTTGGCGAGAGCAGGGGAGAGGGGGAAGGAAAGTAGTGCGCTGAAGCTCAGGAACAGGGCTTTCTTTCCTTCAGCTCTGAGAGCACTCAGATCAACACTGGAGAAACTACAGCTTTGCTCTCAAAAAACAAAAGCGCCACAAGAGAAATATTATTTCAAAAAAGTGTGGTAGGTTTGCTTAGAAATGTTTCGTTTCTTTCACCTAGTTGTTAAAAAAATGACACCTAAAAATGATAACATCTAAGTTTTATTCAAGTCAAAAATATTATTTAATATCACTAAATCAACCTAAATACATTATACCAACAAAACTACATTTTATGGGTTAAATCAAGTCGAAATTAAGGTATCAGTTGCAGGTCACCACTTTTTGTCACAGTGTATAATATTTCCTTTGTATAAATCAGTCACAGAAAATTAAGAAAAAAAGCAAAAGAAAAAAGGTATATTAGAGTTTTGCATTATGTACTTGTTTCCTTTGAAAGTAGAACTTACTTCTGTGTTGCATAAAGTGATTAAAATATTTAATTATACTGTAATAATATATATTTGTATTTTTGTAAGCAAATTAAATAAAATGTATGGAATGACGGACGGAAATAAAGCAAGAAGTAACATCCTCCCTAAACACAGCATGACAGAAGGGCATTTAAATAAACCTATTTTTAATCCTGTTTATTGCTAGAAAATTACAAAATCACGTAATTCAGTTTTTTTGAATACCTAAAATAAATATCTGACAAAAAAAAAACTAAAATAAATAGTAGTTTTATAAAATAAATGTCTCAAGAAATGTTTGTTTGAAGCGAGTCTTCTAGGAAAGTGTTTGACTTTTAATTTGAAAAGTCACCCGGAAACACTCTTGTACAACAAGAAGAAGAAGAAGAAGAAGAAGAAGAAGAAGAAGAAACACTCTTGTAGCTGGATTCGCGCTTTTGAGTGTCGGCGCGTGAACACGCAGAAATCAACACTCACCGCTTTTTAAAATTAAAATCGAGATATCTTTAAGATAAAAAACTTTTAAGAGATGTTTTATCACGTAAGTTCGTAATTGTTTCGATTTTACGTGTAAAATGTACATTAGCATTAAGTGTTCCATATGTTCTTGTCATGTATATGCATTGATGCTGTTTTGTCTCGGCTAACGTTAAGTTACCTGCACACTCACTAGGTTTAGAAAATGTTGGATGTAATAAAGCTAGCTAGTTAAATCTAGTCATTTTGGAGATTGATGGATATTATGTTGATAAAAAAAAAAACGAATCAGTCAATGTAATTGTTAACGCAGAGTATTCTAGATACGTACATTAATTGCATTTACCTTCATGTGACTTGTTGTCATGATAGTTATGAATTTATTATAACTACATATAGTTGTTTTCTCAATAACCATCCCAAATAGATCTCTTTGGAGCATGAGATTCTCCTGCATCCACGGTACTTTGGACCGAACCTTTTGAACACAGTCAAACAGAAGCTGTTCACTGAGGTGGAGGGAACATGTACGGGGAAGTAAGTCCAACAGAAAGCAAGACATCTGACTTTTTTCACTGAATATTATGAAATGTGAATCTCAAATGTCTCTCTTTTGTTTCACAGGTATGGCTTTGTTATTGCAGTAACCACAATCGATAATATTGGAGCAGGTGTTATCCAGCCGGGCAGAGGTTTTGTGCTGTATCCCGTCAAATACAAGGCCATCGTGTTCCGTCCCTTCAAGGGAGAAGTTGTGGATGCTGTCGTCACCCAGGTTAACAAAGTACGGGTCCATTTTATCTTCTGTTAGTGCTCTTATTTTCATTCTTAGTTCATGGAGAGAGCCCTTGTATAAAGAACTTACTTGCACAATGATCTTTTAAATGGTTTTGATAAAACTCACTGTCCCTGCGACTGATTTTTCAGACTTCAGTACAATGTTTTTCTCTCTTTCTTTTCCCAGGTTGGACTCTTTACAGAAATTGGCCCCATGTCTTGTTTCATTTCTCGTCATGTAGGTTGTTTATATATCAAACTGTGTAAATATTAGTCATTGACGCTTGTAATTGTTTCATATCCGTGTTTCTGTTATGTCTAGTCTATTCCCTCTGAGATGGAGTTTGACCCGAACTCAAATCCTCCATGTTATAAGACAGTCGATGAGGTAAGACTCAATAAATCAGCTTTAGGAAATGTTTTATTGAGGAGAATTCTTCAAGTCCTCATTTGCACAAATATAGGTGGTTTCAGTTTGTTTTCTTCAACAGGACGTTGTGATCTTTTTTTTTTTTTTTTTTTGAATTTCAATTTGGATATAATTCTAAAGGTTTTTAATTATTCAATTACTTTTTTTGTTTCTTTTTTTTATTAGTTTGCCATTGGATCTCTCATGGATGACTACCTGGGTATGTATTCTTTTCTTGTAATGAAAACATCTGTCACAGCTGTGTTTACAGTCACTTGCTGTTAGCTGTGCCATATCTTTATTGATTTATAATTTACAATAACTGTTGTACCTGTAATTATTAAAATATCAAAACAGATTCTTTCAATTCATTTCAATGTTGTTTCCCCCCCAATAACGTATTGCCTATTCTTTGTCTAATTTATGTTGTACTATCCAACTATTGTCTAAGAGTTTTATTCTCATTCTTCTAGGTCTTGTGAGCTGATTCTTCTGCCAAGAATATAAGACATATGAAACTTGATGCTGTGGTGATGCTAAATAGTTTGTATATACTGTAATTATTTTCCCATTCATTTGAAGTTGTCTTTTTCCCCCCTCTTTTTATTGTTATTTTTATCCCCATGTTAGTAGTATATCCATAGTTTTCCCATGGCAACAGTTCAATTGTGGAACAGCATCAAGTTAAATGGGAAGAGCATGTAGCTCTACGTGATGGAAAGACTTTGAATTGTTTAATTAAAATATCATCAGTTGGACTCCTGTGGATCCTGTGAGCAAAAGCAATTCACAAGCATGTTATGGAAAGTCAAAGGTATCATTCATCACATTGCTTTTAGAGTTATTCATCTCTAAGCTAATTTTTAAACATCTTTTTGTACATGCCAGCCAGCCTGTACTTGAATATATTTCTCTTTTGTAATACAGCACTCACAAAATTTGACCTTGTCTCCGTCTGGTTTTCTTGTTTTAGTTATTGCGTGCTCTGTGATTCTTTTGTAAGAGAGGCGTAATACATAGGACACAGTGAGCATTGCTGATTTTTGCTAATATTTTGTTATTGGTACCCCACTCTGAAAACGATATTATTATTATTGCAACAGCTTTGGCAGGAAAATGTTTGTAATTCATACTTTCTTTCGTGCCAGTCACACAGTTGCACACTGCCGAAAGAAATATTTAAAGGAAGAGTTCACCCCAAAAATAATCATTTGAAGAATATTTACTCAAAGTTCAAGCGATATTGCTACACTCTTATTGATTATGAACCAGTAATTAAATCAGCCAAATGTTTAATAAAAGTTTTTTCTATTTTTCCCCCCACCTTAATGTTCAAAACCTGTATGACCTTATTCAGTGGAACACAAAAAAGCAGATGCTGGACAGAACGATAGGGACAGTCTATTAGGTGATTTTGTATTTTTATAGAAAAAAAAGGACTTTTATTTTTTTATTTATTTCAGTACTTTCTCAGATTGGAATACAATGTGGGATTTAATTTTTATTTAAAAAAAAAACATATAAATACGCTTCATAAACAAAACTTAGAATGACAATATTCATACATTCGTCCGTCCATCTATTCATTCTATTTATTCCAAAATGAGACTTCTATCTGAATATCAAAAACTATCACGATGTTCCCTAAAAATAAAAACACGTTTATTATTAAACAAGATAAAAAATGAGTCTATACATTTCAGAACAGGTGTTACCAAAAAAGGAACAAGAAAATTACAATTTACAATAAATTAAAAGAAGTGCACGACGTGTCTTCCTTTTTTAGCTTCTTACGTCATTCAAAATAGATCCATATAATTTAATGTGGTTTATAAAATGCTTAAAATATTGCTGATCTTTAGTTCATTTTCTCACATGAATCGGATACTTTCCAAACAAAATAAACAAATGTATAAAGAAGAAAAAGCACGTCCAGCTCTCACTGTCAAGTCTTTATTGCGTATTATTTCTGCGACAGGCCTGGCATTTACGTCAGCACCGCGCGACCCGTTCCTCCTTTCTCTCGTCCTGAAGATGGCGGCAGGGGTGAGTAAGATGGGAGAAAACCCTTAGACGCCGTATTACAGCACATCTCCATCCACAATCACCCCGTAATCACTCCGATCCTTATATCTTTATGCGTTGTTGTCGAGCCGTATTATTTAATAGCATCTTTTAAAGCTGGCGTGATGATTATTTTTGCTGTAAATATTCCCCACACCCCTTTATAAGGTGGTTAGAGTGATGACGGAGCGCTGCGCTCCTTTGTGCCACGTTTCCCTTGCTTTCCCGTCCACGCCGTTCACTCTCTGCTTTAAACACTTTGTAGAGTTTGGCAGAGCGTCATGTTATTTATTTGTAGCTTCACATTAAATGTATGAAAGCGAAGGGCATGTATCAGCAGCGTGAGCTGGTATAAACGCGTAACGTTAGTGAGTTGAGAAGCATTCCTTGCGTGGCCGTCGAGACATTTTTTAACTATGGACATCCAATTCTGAAATGTAGTGTTGATGTCAAATAATTTTAGGGTTTTAAAAGTCTTACTCGGAGGTTTCAAAGCTTAACACCACCATATGGTGTACAAATAAATGTACTGAAACCTTTCTTTCGTGCCAGTCACACAGTTGCACACTGCCTACTGAAATATTTAAAGGAAGAGTTCACCCCAAAAATAATCATTTGAAGAATATTTACTCAAAGTTCAAGCGATATTGCTACACTCTTATTGATTATGAACCAGTAATTAAATCAGCCAAATGTTTAATAAAAGTTTTTTTTGTTAATGTTCAAAACCTGTATGACCTTATTCAGTGGAACACAAAAAAGCAGATGCTGGACAGAACGGTAGGGACAGTCTATTAGGTGATTTTGTATTTTTTATAGAAAAAAAGGACTTTTATTTTTTTATTTCAGTACTTTCTCAGATTGGAATACAATGCGGGATCGAATTTTTATTAAAAGTCTTACTCGGAGGTTTCAAAGCTTAACACCACCATATGGTGTACAAATAAATGTACTGAAACATCAAGTGTTCGCTCTCTATTTGTGTATGCAAACTGTTTATAGTGTGTGAGGTAATTTATTTCAGGGAATTGACCTTTATAAGGTGGTTAGAGTGATGACGGAGCGCTGCGCTCCTTTGTGCCACGTTTCCCTTGCTTTCCCGTCCACGCCGTTCACTCTCTGCTTTAAACACTTTGTAGAGTTTGGCAGAGCGTCATGTTATTTATTTGTAGCTTCACATTAAATGTATGAAAGCGAAGGGCATGTATCAGCAGCGTGAGCTGGTATAAACGCGTAACGTTAGTGAGTTGAGAAGCATTCCTTGCGTGGCCGTCGAGACATTTTTTAACTATGGACATCCAATTCTGAAATGTAGTGTTGATGTCAAATAATTTTAGGGTTTTAAAAGTCTTACTCGGAGGTTTCAAAGCTTAACACCACCATATGGTGTACAAATAAATGTACTGAAACATCCAGTGTTCGCTCTCTATTTGTGTATGCAAACTGTTTATAGTGTGTGAGGTAATTTATTTCAGGGAGTTGACTCAGCTGTGTCCGCCTCAGGGAAAGTGCTGTGTAATGCTCTGTGAGTGGTCATAATGAAGGGACAGCTTCTGTTGGCACTGAGTTTGTGTTACAGATGACTGAGTCTGAACGAGCAGCATCAGTTTCAGCAATGTGATCTCAAACCTTGTGTTTCTGCAGACTCTCTACACATACCCAGAGAACTGGAGGGCCTTTAAGGCTCAGATCGCTGCCCAGTACAGTGGGGCTCGTCTGAAGATTGCGAGCGCCTCCCCTGCCTTCACCTTTGGGCAGACGAACCGATCCCCTGCTTTCCTCAGCAACTTTCCCTTGGGCAAGGTCAGTATTCTCATGCCTTTTTTTAATTCATGTGTTCTGGATGTAGATGGAATTTATCAATGTTGTTCCTGTCCATTTAGGTTCCTGCTTACCAGGGTGATGATGGCTTCTGTCTGTTTGAGAGCAATGCCATTGCTCACTTCTGTAAGTAAGCTTTATAGGGCCTATTTATGCTTGGCCACTTCATGCATTTCTTTCGATTGGACAGCGATTTGTTAAAAGGGCTCCATTCGCACTTTCACAGAAATTTTTATCCTCAAAACAAATATAAATCTTTAGTTCTTTTGGTATATGGGAATTCAACAAATGTGTTGCATTTCATTCATCCTCGGATTTCAAAATCAAAGGCCGCAATAGGTGAGAGAGAGCGCGAGCATTTTAATGAAGATGACTGTGTGTTGAGCTTTGGGATGCGATGCCGAACATTGAGTTTTCCTAAACGGATCCTAAATTGCATTGATTTTTTTCCTAAAGCAATAGTGAGGAGTAAATTAGGGTGTATAAAGGCAGAAACTGATGCGAGTTTTCTTGTGTACGCTAATTGAAGAGCATGCATTTGGAACTCGTATACAAGTAATTCAAATAGTTCAATGTCTTTTATTAAGGTGTAAAGATAAAAAGGCAATCACAATATGCATTCATTGCTGGAAAATGAACAACATAACTGCCGTTTATTAATCACATTAATTTCTATGAAAAATTTCCTTTGCAAAATTTGCCGATAATTGCCTACACACATGATTTGCAGACACCATCCAATGCCTGCCACACGTGTTTTCAGAGAGCACATATTATAATAACTTATATGATCCATAAAGAGATATTTGTGTTTTATAGATGTTGATGCATTTGTTCATTGCATTTGATTTTAATATGACCTGCAGTTTATGAAGAGGAATGCATTCGGAATGTTCTTTTTTTTGTGTGTGTGTGCGTTCGTATGTTTTAATTTTATGAACTGTTGTATGTTCAAATTTTAAATGAGGTACCAGGTCTTTTTCACGATCAGAGAAAATGCGTAAATAGTGTATAAGTGTAAGTGTAAATAGGCTCGTATATGAACTATTGTAATGCTTTAAAAAACGTTTAGTGTTTTATTACACACAATTAATGCTGTTGTTTCCTCCTGACAGTGAGCAATGATGCCCTTCGTGGCAGCACTCCCCAGGACAGTGCCCAGGTGCTGCAGTGGGTCAGTTTTGCTGACTCTGAGATCATCCCTCCAGCTAGTGCCTGGGTGTTCCCCACCTTGGGTATCATGCAGTTCAACAAACAGGTTAGCTTTGAATATATTTGTGTAATGGTTTCATCTGTCAGGAATTGAATGGTTTTTGTAAGTCTGCACTTTGTCTTGTTTGTAGGCCACAGAGCAGGCTAAGGAAGAGGTGAAACGCATCCTCGCCATCCTCAATCAGCACTTAAACACTCGCACTTTCCTGGTTGGGGAGAGAGTCAGTCTGGCTGACATAACTGTTGTCTGCTCTCTGCTCTGGCTTTACAAACAGGTGAGTTTGCAGGGTGCCATGAAAACCTGAGCTGTGACCAGGTTGTTTTAATTAGCGATGTGTATTCACAAAATAGGCCCATATATATCTGGGCCCGTATTTATCAAGCCTCTGAGAATTACTTTCAAGAACGCTGCTAAGAATTGACTTAAGTGTAAAAAAAACTTCTTGGCTCAAAGCTGCGCTTAAAAGTTAGTTATCAAGCATCTCAGTCGTAAGTTAAGCGAAGTGTTGGACTAAATCTTAAGTGTCAGTCTTAGAGTTGATTCACGACACGCCACAAACGGGGATTTTGGATGACGAAATACGCATGGACCAATCACTGAATAGATTTCCTTATTTAAGAATATTCTCAGATAAATTCGCATTCCTAATATTGCCTATCTTTAGTGATGCAGTGCGGAGAGCCGCTTCAGAAACTTGCATATAATACTCAAGCTAGACTGAAGTCCGTCTCAAATAACTGCGAGAGTGAGAGTGATTCTTAGCTTTAAGAAATTTGATA